TTTGGATATGAGCTGAGTTTAGGTTGAGTAGGCCGATTTTGGCATGAAATACTGACATCAATAACATTAACAATTGTTTTATTATTGTTTTTTTCTGATTTTCAATATTGATGTTTTGAGACGATGTTATTGATGGTGTTTCAATAGGTTCATCAATATCAATAGTAACACGGGATGTATGTGAGTCGCATGGCTGTATAATAGCATTTTCATTATTAACATCATTTCTTTGTTCGTGAGGATATTTACTCTTTTTTTCAGTAGATAAAGAAAAATAAAAATCAAGAGTTTTTCTTTTACTATTGCCCAATATAGCTAACGCTTTGCATCGCGCACTGATGAACCAAATTAACTCGAAATCGAAATGTGTTTGTAATAATACTCATCTTATCTTTGGCGTAACTTCCTTTATTTCTATCCATTTTTTGCCCTTGCTCGTATTCTATCACGAATATTTCATGAATAAAAATTGAAAAAACACGACTCAATATGCATTTCTACTTTGATTTGAAAAATTAGCATCTAAGCCAAATTGAACTCTATACCATATGCATCATGATCATTAATTGGTCCAAAAAGAAAAAGAAAGATAGAAATAAACTATATAATACTCATTTTAACTTTGACGCAGCTTCTTTTTACGTAGACCCATTTTTGTTGCTCTTGCTCGTCTTTGTAATACTATATATTCATGATCCATGAGAGAATTAGCCCATGTCGCTTATTTTTTTTATCAAAAACGCTGGTTCACTACGGTTTCTCATCGCTTATCGTTTTTTTAATAGTTTTTCTTCTAAATTAATATTTTTCGTCCATAAATGGTGGATTGCAACTCACAAAAATCGAAATAATTATTCCATAGTGCATTCTCTGATATGTCTTACTTAGTTTTCCTATTGACTAAGTCATGAACGAACAAATATTTTTATAGTGCCACCTTTAATAAATCATAAACTCGAAAACTACGTGATTATAGTTAATGTGGCTAATACCTGCGGCTTCAGCGGGTTTACAATTATAAGAGGATCGCGGTTTTGACATATTTTGAACGCTTTTCTAAGAGTTTAAAAATTTTCACCGTTTATGATACAGAAAAAAATTTAGCTGGAGAACCGTAATTAACCGTTCGGTTAACAACCGGTTTTAGAGCGGTTTGATTGACATGGAAAATTATTATTGATCTCCATATCTGCATATTTCTAGAAATCAACTGAACTACATCTTGATAATAAATATTCGTCATTAACAAGATATATGTTTTACGTATTCAATCGAATCTTCTAAAACAATGAACTCTATATTAAAAAACATGTCATTAAGAAAACGAACTAATTTTCTTTACAAGAACTCTCTCTTCAGAAAAACAATTCCGTCTTCTACAAATTTCACCAATTTTTTAGAACTGAAAAGCTTTCTATTCTGAAAGATTACCGTCCTCTACAAACATCAGTAAACTTAGTTAAGTCAAAATAACCTTTCGAAATCTTTAATTGGAGTAATTTATTTATAATCAACTTCAAACCAAACGAAATTTTTCTTTTAAAATTAACTTCAAATTTCAACCGTTTTGAAAAAAATTCGAAATAATAAACTTCAAAATTAAACGAAAATTTTAAATTCAAATTTATTTAAATCCATTCTCTTTATGTTCGCAAATGAGAAGTAGCTGTTCTTCCGTGATATTCACATCATTTAGATAAAGATCCTCGAACCAAAGATTATCAAACAGCTAATTTACAAAAGATTCGAATGCTTATATTGATGCTCTCTAATTGAATAATATTTCTTTTAGGTGGTCTTTTTTTCGACCATATTTGTTTCGACGATGACAAACGCTTTCTATATTTTTTTACTTCTCACCTTGTTATATCTGTTTTTCTACCTTTTTGCAACTATCAATCGAAAGACCTTGAAAAATTACACTGATGGTTCGAATCTTACGTTACAATAGGACTGACTTCACGAACTGTCATAAATACAAAATTCGATATGTTAGAGAAAATGTTAATTTCTGCTTGGGAATCGCTAGTTTCTTTGCAAAATGTTACAGTTTATGATTGTAAAAAGTTTAGATTTGCATGCAACTCAAAATTCTGAGTTAGAAAAGGTATTTTTTGCTGAGTTTGAGTGAATAATTATGCTAGGAGGTTCAAATAATCAGGAATGCGGTGCAAATAGTGATTAGAGCTATTTCATGAATAAAAGCTTTTTGAGAGTTCTCACGATAATATTCATCATCAACACTCCTAAATCTTCAAACTCATACGATTTTGGCTCGTCAACAAAAAAAATTGTATTCATGATACCTGAGGGGGACCACAGGCACGAAAAGTGTGAACGCTGTTTTTCAAGGAATGAAGTAGATAAAAATGATCAGAGCCGATTGTGTATTCGATGGCCTACAAACGCTCTCGCTCATGAGCGTGAGCCGTACACCCCTAAATGAAACTAACTAAATGAATTTCTTTCTATTCAGATCAAATTGATTCTCCTAATGCAACCTTTAAATCAATATGTGAAGCA